ATGTACACGTTTTTCAGGTAAATCGTATACATTCTACACGAGTTCCCTCAAACCACGTACGTTGTACCCAATTTATTAGTCTAATTGGCCCACCACCCACCACATTATTAGATTCAAGCGGACACGTATAACTCGTGTTTATTGCCCACGAGTTTTGACTTTGACCATAACCACCCTAGTTTTGTCAATAGTTTTGGAATGTACACTATTTTATATTTATATTATTTTATTTACATTTTTTTAATTTTAATTTGTAATCTACCTTAAATTTGTAATTTATTTTTAAAATTTACATTATTTATGAAATTAGCCCACTTTTGAGAGGTAGTAGATGTTTTTTTCAATTAAGTTATATTCAAATTGACTATTTTTATTTCATTTTAAAATTTGATAATAGATTCGTGAACTTTTAAAATCATGTCTTAAGTAAATAAATACCCATCACGTTGAAATGATGTAGAGTCCACTCTCACGTTGAAATGATGTAGAGTCCACTCTAGGCCATCAAAAGGTGAAGAGGTTGGAGTCCACCTCGACCTACGAAAAGATTTGAACCCACCTCAACCTATGAAGAGGTGGAATTCCACCTCGACCAATGAGGGCGGATCGGAGTCCACCTTGGCACATGAGGAGATTAGCACTCACCTAGACGAAAGAGGTAGAACTAACCACCTAGACAAGAGAGGTCAGAGCTCGCCTCGACCACACGAGGAGGTAAAACCTACCTCGACCACAAAAGTACTGGAAACGAGTATCTAGCCGATTTGTCTCCAAGTACAACCATATATGACGTTCAGATACCCCACTGACGCATCTCCTAATGCACCATGGAGAACACAACGAAGCTAGGTACAGAATGACTAAGGTAATAAGATTATCCCCTTGAGTCTCCTATAAATAATGGAACTCACCTCACGTTCATGTGGGTGAAATTACCCTAGCTAATTAACTCAACAATCTAAATTCTAATTTAAGTGCAAGGGTTGTGTTATTGGACACAAGGTCCCACCCATGTGAGTTCTTTGTACAAATATCCACTTCAGCGTTGAGCCATCACCACCTTGGATATGACATTAGGAAGGTTAACCTGTGCCAAAATTACACATCAACGTAATATTTATATTAGTTTATGTACTTTAAAAAATTGTAATGTTTTAAATTTTGAACTTTAAATATCACATCAACTTTGAATTTTGTGTCTTAGTCCGTTTTTGTCTAATGTTTTCATCATATACTAACTATATTATTTAAAAATTACATGGAATGACCTAATTTCAGATAAATTTACAGGTTTTTTTAAACTAGATAAATTTAATTGTTTCATGACATGCATAATCCTTAAACTAATTTTAAGCCTCAAAATTCTAAATTCTAAAACTTTATGGATTTTTAACATACATGAATAAATAGAGACCATCTTAAACTTTTGAAAAAGATAAAAGAAGATACTATGTGACCAAAATTTTAAGTTTTGTTAGCGCAGGACCAAAATTTTAAGTTAACTCATAATCAATTAGTTAAAATACTATATTTTTAGTTTATTAATTCCTGTACTTTAAAAATATTCGTTTTGATCCTTGTACTTTCAACTCTGGTTAATTTTAGTCTATGTATTTTTAAAATGTTCGTTTTGATTTATGTACTTTTAAAAAGTGACCATTTTGATCCCTTAATTTATTTCAACACGATACTACACTCAATATATTTATTAAAATGTATATAACCATGACTTTATATTAAATTATTTTTTGTTATGTGTACAATTTGTAGTAAAAGTTTGAAAAATAAATACCAAATTGGTCACTTTTAAAAAGTGTAAATACCAAAATGAATATTTTGAGAAGTACAGAGAATAAAATAAATCAAAATTAAAAGTACAAAAATGATCCTTTTGAAAGGAGGATGAAAATAATATTTTAACCTTAATTATATATTTAATAGAATTGGATGGAAGTTGATGTGGCTGCGCCTTGGCATTCAAGATACGACCGTCTCATGAATGGCCGTTTTATTTAATGCGGGTATTCCTGACCCTCGTGTCTTCGTATCGCTGTTGTATATTTAATTCCTACGGAACTTTTTCCTTTTTTTTCTTTTGAAAAGAAATCCTACGGAACTTACATCAAGGGTTTCATCACCTAAATTTATATAATTAATTTTCTATGCGTTGGTTCTCTGTTTTTGGTTGACATCTAGCGCCAGTGATTTTTTACTTTTTTATTTTTTATCCTATTTAGTTCCATAATGACGAGGGATTTGATTCCATGGATATGGGGGAGAGTATATATTGTCGGCACAATTTTTTTTGAGAGTAAATTTAGCATAGTTTAAATTATTTTTTGTTGGTTTCTAAAACCACTCATATGTATCATTGTCAAAATTAATAATTTTAGAAGTTTAAAAAAAATTTCCTAAATCGTAGTGACAATGTTAAATGACACTAACTAAAAATTTCATAGCCAGTATTAATTTCTTGACATAATTAAGTTTGTTGAACTAAACTTTTAATTTATATTTTGATCTCTCCGAATCCAAGAATTTTCTACTTGTTTGTTTTTATGATATAATATAATATATAACTTCAATACACACTCACATGTGTATATGTGTGTATATATAAACTATACCATAAGTTGAGATCAAAGAGGTCAAAAAGTAAAGAAATTAGAGACAATGAATTAACACCTTTTATAGTGTGGTACCTATTAAGATTCTACCATCAATCAATTATCCTTTGATAAATAAATAAAAAATTAACACACACGTATGTACAAACAAAACAATATTATATTGAGAAACTAAAAATTTTAAAAGATTTGTATATAAAACTTATATTTTCATAATAATATTAAAGGATAGAGTTATTTTCAATTCCAACAAAAGTTAACCACCACAAATTGATCTGGTGGTCATTGGGGCTACTGAGAATGTAAAGAGATTTCAAGGGAATAATTTCAAATCCAAAGACAAAAACCTATCTACACTATTAAAATATTACCAATTTAAAAAAAAATTATAAAAGAAGGTATATATATTTGGGGCGGTGACGTTTCAAAATGGATGACATGTAGGTAGAAGTTAAGAAGATATGTGGCATTGGGGCGTTAGAAGAAACCCATTAACGTAGCCATTTGGATTTTGGAATATATTATTATTCCATTTTCCACGTGGAGCCTTCAAGTAACTTGAGGGTAAGGTTAGCAAGGACAAAATTCCAGTCTGTACCATATCCCTTTTGTCCTTGCTGCCCATGTTGAAAATATAATATATGATTTATGAGATATATAAACTATCTATCAAAACGAATATAGGTAATTGACATATATCTCCAACTAAATGATTCTTTGCCCTCACATGTTGTACTCAAAAGAAAAAATATATATATATATATATATGTATATACACACTGTCCATCTATGAATAGTCATAACGAAATATACACTATTTTTAATACAACTTTGACGTGAAGTGAATAGTAGGAATATCCGTACTACATTTTTCGGGTTAGCAATGAACCTATAGGTTTTGAAATCAACTTTGGGGGTTTTGAAATCAACGTTGTTCCCACCTAACCCCCCTTTCTCTCT